TGCGCTTGTCATGTATTCTTATGCTTGCCGTGCATGCTTGTGCTTATGCTAGCCGTGCATGCTTGTGCTTATGCTTGCGCTTGTCATGTATGCTTATGCTTGCCGTGCATGCTTGTGCTTATGCTTGCCGTACATGCTTGTGCTTGTGCTTTTCGTGCATGATTGTGCTTGAGACCGCAACCACCGTTATGTTGCTGCCATCTATTTGTGCTTCTAGGTGTGAACATCTAGGCTACAACTTTAGTGCTCGACACTCTAGTAGACACTGCGAACATCTAAACTGCAAATATCTGCAGGTTACGGTGACATAATCTGTGGACATCGAGACATTTTTTTCAAGTTGCTTTGATATGTACTAACTATCTAGCCAGGGGCGTAGCTACGGGGGGGCCTGGGGGCACGAACCCCCCCCACAAATTTTCTGTAAGTGCCCCCCCACTAAAAATTCATGCTTGATTAATTTCAAATTTAATTAAAAACAATGCCGTTAGAACAGTATAATACAAAGAAAAGTTATATATTGTGCCCCCCCACGAAAATGTAAGGCCCCCCCCCAGTGCCCACCCACTGAAAAAATCCTAGCTACGCCACTGTATCTAGCTGGTATTTCTGCCAATTAGTGCCACTGTCACTGCAAACATCAAGCCTATTTCAGCACTTTGCTCTGACAGACACTGGAAATTTCGAACTCATATTTCTGCACTATTATACGTTTAACACGCACTGTAAATACCTAGCCTGTATTTTGGAACGTTCAGCAGGCGCGGCAAACACCTGACCAGTATTTCATCACCATACTTTTAGCAAACACCGTCAATGTCTAGCCCGTATTTCAGCACGTCTCAACGGACCTCGTAAACATCTGTAACCTGTGAACGCCGTAAATACCGCTTGCTCCTACTCTGCAGTTCCGAGCCGCCGCCGCCGCCGCCGCCGACCATGGGCACCTTCATGGGGCACGTGATACCCGGCTCGTTCTTTCTCGTCTTCGGCACGTGGTGGACGAGTCAGATCGCCTACAGGTACGCGCGGGCACAGGCGCGCCGTGGCCTGCCATACCGCAGCAGCGTCACATTCCCGTGTCCGGGATGCCTGCGGAGCGTTCCCGTCGAAGCCATCCTCAAGGTCGTGCTCTGCTCCATCGGGATAGCGGGCGAGGTGGTCACAGGTGAGTCGCCGCCTCGATGACGCACGCCGGCCGGAGATCGCAGCGGAGGGGCGTGTGCGCGAAATCTGGTACGAGCGCGCGCGCGATCGATCCATCTGCGTGAGAGAGAAGGCCGCGGCAACCCTTGGATACTGTTGCCGGGTCAGTCGCGCAACCACGCCAGGGCGTACGACTTCGCATGAGCGCGCTCCGACATGTCGACTCTCCGGCACTTTGTCGCTGAGAATTGTTTTTAGAACGTCCCATCGTTGCAGTTCGCGTTGCCACCGTTCTACGATCTCTTCCTGCTCTTGCTACATTCTCTTTCGCCGTCGAAAAGCTTTCACGTCGACCTCATCGCCAGCCAGCCATCAGGTTATCGTTTATACACAGCAAGTGTAGATTACTGTACGTCTCACTCCCCCCTCCCTCGCGTCTTTCTCTCTCGCCCCCGCAGGTTTCCGCGACGGGAAGTTCGTGAACTATGGCAATGCGCAGCACTCCGTCATGTTCCTCCTCTTCGGCCTGACGGGCGTCGTCGACGTCGCGCTGCACTACCACCGGGGGGCGCCGCCAGGCATCGACTACGCGGCCGGCGCACTGGCGTTCACCGTCGAGGGCCTGCTCTTCGTGCAGCACCTGCACGGCCGCACGCCGCTCGACCGCCAGCTGCACGAGCTGCTCTACTGCACCATCTTCGCGTGCGCGGTGAGCGTCGTCGCTGAGGCGCGGCGACGGCGCAGCGCCGTGGCCGCTCTCTCACGCGCCTACTTCACGCTGCTGCAGGGCAGTTGGTTCATGCAGGCGGCCGTCGTGCTGTACAGCCCGCTGCCCGGCGCCGTGCCGTGGGCCGCCGACGACCACACACAGATGACGATGGTGACGGTGATCTTCGCATGGCACTGCGTGGGCGTGCTCGTCTACATGGCCGCCGTCTACGGAGCCGCGTGCGCGTGCGCCGGCGGTCGCCGCGGCGACGACGGTCACCGCGGCGACGACGACATCGAGATGCGGGCGTGTGGTCACCTGGGCGACGACGAAGACGGTTCGAAAAAGCTGCTGATAGCGGCGTCTGACGATGAGAGCGTGGTGGAATTCTCGGTAAAGTCGACGAGGGAAGCGCAACCTTGAGTTCCGCCTGTGTGACCTTGACATCAGCCCAAGTGTGTGGACTCGGCAGAGTAAGGCGCGGCGTTGCATGTGTGACCTTCATGTCTAATAAGGAGGTCTTATCAAGCAAGACCTCGAGTGCCATATACGCAACCTTGACATCAGTTTGTCAACTCTGCGAGAAATGCCTTGAATTGCACGTATGACCTTGGTAACAAATTAGGAGTTGACTAGACTGCAAGCAAGATCTGATCGTGCTGTGCACGTGAAGAGTTTTGGCGGCAGAATGCAGATGCAGATTTAACAAACTGTGGTAATGTGGTAAAATGCAGGTGTCCACATTTATTTTATACATCACATTATGCAACATATTGATAGAAAGATACGAGTGTAATCGTGTGGTAAGAAAATTAATGTGAAAATATGACGGAAAGGGTTCTGGGACATGGTATGAAAATAGGAATGCATTATATACTGCCAATTTTTGTTACAATAAAACAGGTACCAGACTTGGTTATTAAGAGTATGCAGTTGGCAGTATTACTGTTTGATTGTGTAAAACTATAATTCATGAAAGGAATATTTAAAGTTGTAACTGTTTTTGTGTTACAGTGAAATTTCACACCCCTCGTAGTTATAAACTCGCACAAAAATCAGCATTAACTAAATCCACACTTTCACCTAGTTTTTAAGACTCACGTATACACACAGGACTTCATGTGTTGTGGCTTATAAATCAATATAAACTATTAAATAAAAGATAAATTATATATCATTATAAATATTAATTTATATTACTTGTACGAATGAATGATGACATTGCAAGTTGGATTACCGCTTCATACACAGTTAAACTTAAAGTCTAAGTTCTCACGCTTGGCTTATATTATATATATATATCAATTTTCCAGCCAAAAGCTGCATTGCACAAATCACATTTACAGTACATCTCTCCCAGTTGAATTCTCATGAGGAAACATTAAAGTCATATTTTCTGAAGCTATCACTGCATAAAATCTTAGTGTTTTACAAGTTGGTGTAATCAGTGATATATCCGCCGTGAGGTGATACTATATTTCACTAGTATATTTTTTTTTCGGATTGAGTGTTTCTGAGCAAGAATCTGCCTTTATATGGTTTCTCCCCCGTGTGCATCCTTGTGTGAGACTTCAGACTAGGCCTACCTAGCAGAGCAAAGGGTGGTTTATAGTATACAGGTCACATTTATATGAATTTTCTCCTGTGTGAAAATTCATTAATATGTCTTATCAGGGCAGTCTGCACGAAGAAGGGGCTGCAGCACAGAGATTATTCACATTTATCACGTTTCTCTCTTGCTTGAGATTTCCCATGCCTAGTCAAGAAGGTTCTGATCAAGAAAGACCTATCACAGAGCCCACACTTTAACAGTTTTTCTCTGATGCGGACTCCCATATGATGCTAAACCAGGTACCGTAACAAAATCGTTGTGACAAAGGTAACATCTAAATAGCCTGTCTCCTGAATGAGTTCTTAAATGCACCCACAGGTTAACTGATTTGGGAAGGCTGCCTTACATACGTTCCACTTGCATGGTTTCTCTCCCGTGTGAATTCACATATTTGGCTTAAACTAAACAGTGTTTCCACTGGCCAAAAAGGTCTTTGAGGTGGTAAATTTTTTTTGGTGTGTTTGCGCGTTTCGATGCATTATATAAAGTACTGTTCTACGGAAGAACAGTTATTTTCGTCAGCGAGGCGGTGTTTTGGACAAATTTCTGGGTGGCAGCTGAGAATTTGAGTGAGGCGACCCTCCTCATCGTGTCAATGCAGGGGAAACACTGCTAAAGATACATCGATGGTTAAAAGCTGAATTACACACATCACATTTGTAGGGTTTCTAGCCTGTGTGAACTATCAGGTGTATCTTCCGATACTTTAATTCTATTTTATATATATATATATATGTATAGACACACAATACATACGCATACATATCATGTCTATCCAACACAGACACTTGGGCCGCACTAATACAACAAGTGCCGCAGCGCGACAGGGCTCATCTGGTGTCTGGTGTTCTGCTGATAAATTCATTTGTGCATAGCCAGATGAGACGGGATACCAGAGAAGTGTTGCCGAAACGAGGTGTTGATCCTATAACCGCTGAGCAGAGATCTTGCGTGCAGTTCCGCGGCAAGGCGCAGTTCTGCGGCAAGGCGCACGCGACCGCGGCAATGTCCTACGACAGTATGCAGCGCTGGCAGCTATGGATCCGTGCGCCGAATCCATAGGCCGGCGCACGGATCCATAGCTGCCAGCGAACAGTCGGCAATTTTAGCGGGGGACACAGAGGGAAGACATTTGGGACGTGGGAGGAACTCGCGACTTACATGGGGGTCGTACAGATGGGGGGGGGGCGAGAGCAAAGGCCTCCCACTTCACTCCCCTTGCCTCTCACTTCCACCCCTTTACCTCCCATCTCCCTCCCCCTGCCTTCAACCGCCCTCCCCCTGCCTCCCACCCAGGGCTCGAATTAAGCGACGAGAAGGGCAAGGCAATTTTTTTAGGGCATGTGAGAAATCGCCTTGAATTTTCTCTAAAATAGAAAGGCACCAAGGCAA